GCCTAATGTGTTTATCTAATGTGTTTAAAATCAAAATATAAGAGATGAGCTATTATTTTCTATTATTAAAAACTAATTCTAAAATACATAGCGTAATAAAATAATAAAACAGTCCTAATGTAGAAAAAAAAAACAAAGACATTATGTATCAAATACCAATGTAAAAACAATAGGATACATTCCACCAAAACTACACTATTGTGCTGGGACTTGAAATCAATACAAGGAATAGGATTAGCACACATTTCATCCATAATATTTAGTCTTAAATTAAGGATAGTTTTAGTCATTATTTTTTTAATGTCAGCGTCAGGGTTTGGGTTTAATCAATTTTTTTTAATCAATTATATTATCAATGGTATCCATGGTTTTTTACAAATAATATCAGTTTTAGCCATCAGTTTTTTATGTCAATTAAACAAATCGTAATAATAGAAATTGACAAAATTGATGCCATTTGAACTGAGTTGGGAGTTGATAATATGTTGAGAGAGATTTGTTTGATAAGAGCATCCACAACCAAAAAGATCTTTTAATAAATGTTTATTGATTATTATATTAGAATATATAAATAAAAATAAAATCTAAATTCTTGAGAAACTTAAATTTTAATTTTTAAAAAGTAAAATAAAATTGTTCTACAAAAGTTTTTTTCAACAACGTAAGATAGAGCGGGGTTAGTCGGGCAAATTTTACTCAATTTAACAGATCTCATGAACGGTGCGTCGAATTGACATAATTTTTATACTATTTGAATGATAACTTAACCTGTTAAAACTTTGTTATAAAAAATTTTTTTGATTTTTTTAAAAGATAATGCCTCAGAATTGCGGAATTGCTTAACCTGCCCCAGCCAGATAACTTAAGCAACCGGCCCCAGCGGAGTAAGTTAAGCAACCTGCCTAAGCGAGATAAGTTAAGCTACAGTTTAGGGTAAGTTGAACAATCATTAACTGATATGCATGGTACAAAACTTAGGTAAATTATCAATAAAATTTTTACAAACAGTAAGTGTGTGCCTAGTTTAAAAACTTTTTTTTTATGCACTTTAATGACGTAAGTATAAGAAGAGAACAAGTTAAATAGTAAGAAAGGGTCATAAAATATTATTTTATGCAAACATCCTGAACTTGAAGCCCGATTTAATATACATATTTTATAAATAAATATAAATAATGTATTTTATGTTTATTTTTTTTGTTAAATTTGTTTCTTTGTCTTCAAAAGTCCAGCTTTATCTATATTTTTTAAAGATGCTCAATTTACCTCAATTAGATTAGGTGAAATATCACTTAGTTTTTTTTTTTTTTTTTTTTTCTTACTTCTTTGCTTTCAACAAAGCTGGAAGCAACCACAAATTAGTGTTGAAAGTTACTGGAAGAAAAAAGATAAAGATTGTAGAGCAGGATAACAATTGACAGACGACTTAAAAGATTGCAAATTATATGAATCAGGAAAGCAAGATGAAGGAAGCCAATTCTAAAGAACTAATGTTTGAGGGAAAAAAATAGACGAGTAAGAGTTTTTGGATCACTTAGGAAAAGATACAGAAAAAGGACGAGACTTAATTGAATGACGAGTAACACAAGAATGAATTTTAGTAGATAGCACAGGAGACGCTTGCTCTTTAAAGCAGTGCCCAATTAAGTATTTGTAAAAAAGAGAAAGAGAAGCAACATTACGACGATGTGACAGAGGTTGAAGGTTGGCTGCAAGAGCAGGCCCAACTATGTTTACAATACGTTTTTGTACCTTGTCAGAAAGAGAAAGGACATCATTAAAAGATTTGCCCCAGATATGGCAGCAGTATTCCATAGAAGGTCGGATTTGAGACTTATAGAGATAGAGAATAGAATCCAGAGTAAGAAAGTGACGAGCTTGATAAAGGAAAGCAACTTTAGCAGATGCTAATTTTGCAACGGATTTGATATAAGGTTTCCAAGAAAGATCAGAAGTAAGAGATAATCCTAGAAGATGAAGGATAGGAGACTCATCGAGTACATTACCGTTCATAAATATAGAAAGGTCTAAATTAATGCGATAACGATTGGCTGAAAAAATTGAGTTTTATCTGAATTAAAGTTCACCAGCCACTGTAAGCCCCATGCTGTAGCAGAAGTAAGATCATTTTCAAGCTCAGATTCCCCCTGCAAGCAATCAGCGGAAGTTCTTATCGTGACAAGAATATATGGTTGTATCATCAGCAAACAATGCCACCTTAGATGTGAGAATATCTAGAAGATTGTTAATATAAATTAAAAAGAATATAGGGCCGAGAATTGAACCTTGAGGAACCCCTGAGGTTAAAGAATAAAATGAAGAGTGCTGTCCATTGAGAACAAATTTTATACTACGATTGGAAAGGAAGGATTCAATAATCTTAAAGGTGTTTACAGATACACCGTAAGACGAAAGCTTATGGAGAAGACAAGCATGCCAAACTTTATCAAACGTTTTAGCAATGTCAAGAGCGATGGCCTTAACCTCTCCACCTTTATATAATGCGCAATAAAACCTATTGGTTATTACTGTTAGCAAATCAGCCGTAGAAAGAGAGGATCGAAATCCATATTGATGATCAGAAATTACGTTATGAGATTAAGTGTTTGAAAATTAAAGATTCAAAAACCTTGCTTATGATAGGAAGAAGACTAATAGGACGGTAGTTAGACGAATCGGATCGCTCTACAGAATATTTAAAAATAGGGATAACAGATGCTGCCTTCCAGCAGGCTGGAAAACAAGACTCTGATAAGCACTTGTTAAATAGTTTTGAAAGGATAGACGACAGCTCCGGAGAACACTTCTGCAAGACTATAACAGGTATGTTGTCCGGGTCGCAAGCTGAAGAAGAGTCTAAGCGGGAAATCACTTTAGATACAAAAGCTGGAGTGATACGAATGTCGAGCAATGGATCAACCTGTTTGACGGCTATATCAGGTAGAACGCAACTAGTGAAAATCGAGAGATGATATTGATGAAAAGTTCTTGGCAAATAATTCAGCTTTGTCTTTAGGTGAGGTGACAATGTCTGAATCATACAAAAGAGCCGGAACTACAGACTTGTCCTTATTATTGATACTATTGAAGATTCTCCAGAAGTCGCGAGAGCCTAATTTTTGTGATGAAATACAAGATTTCATGGTCTGAGAATAGCGGGCTTTAGCGTTAGACAAAACTTTTTTACAATGGTTCCTAACAGTATTAAACAGAGGTCTGTTTTCTTGGGAATAGTTTTGCTGATAGATATGGAAGTAATGGTTTCGATTGGCAATTGCAGCAGCACAATGTGAGGATAACCATGGAGAAGAGTAAGGCTTTACCTGGAATCGTCGAGAGGGAACAAAGGATTCCATGTCAGCCTGATTCCACGAAGTTATGTAAGAAGCACATTTGTCAACAGGAAGACAAAAGATTTCTACCCAGGGGCCATCAAGAAGAAAATTACGGAAAGTGTCCCAGTCAACTTTAAGGTAGTTGTAAGATGTACGATGATAGGGGGATTCTGATAATAAAGAAAAATGAGATAACAGTTTTAGAGAGACCAAACCATGATTAGAAGCATCTAAGGGTGAGTGTGGAGAAACTGAGCACTGACTAGGATCAGAAACAAGTCATAAGTCGAGTAGAGAAGGTAAATTATTCGGGTTGTCTGGAAAGCGAGTTGGAAAGTTGACTATTTGAGTTAGGGATTGAAAAAGGAAAACGTTGTGGGCCTTAATGCCTGCAGAGTCACTGACACTAGAGCCAAGCCATTTAGTGTGATGAGCATTAAAGTCACCAACAACATCAATATTGGCTGATGGATAAAGAATGAGGGCTTGGTCAATATTATCAGAAATAGCATCAAGAAGAATGCAGTCTTGAGATGAAGGAGAGCGATATAGAACAAAGAGAAAGGTGATAGAGTGAAGTGGTGCTAAACGAACGCACATAAAAGAGTAGTCTGTGGATTCAAACCTAGTTTCCCAACAAATAGGTGAACTCTTACGAAAGTAAATGATTAGCCCAAGCAAGTGACTATTGGAGTCTTTACGAATTAAAGGAAGATAACCATCAACACTAAGATCACAAGATGAGACACAAGAACTCAAATTAGTGTCACAAAGAGCAAAAAATCTGGTAAACTTTGCAAGAGATAGGACTCAACAAAAGAAAAGTTACTTTGAAGACCACGAATATTGGTGAATGATAGGTTTAGCGAACTTGGTGATGACTGTGGTTTTTTGTGTTTTATTGTTTTTGTTACTTTATTCATTTTTTGAATTTGTTAAAGAACTTAACTCGAAACATTGATATTACTCAGTGCACTGTTTTATAGCCCAAACAATTGCCTTATTTCCACTAATAAACCCTAAGCCGTAACAAAGAACTCCAATGTGGCCTTGGCAATGCACACCCAAAGTACAAACAGGGACACCATCTATGCACAACATGGCATTGTTTGTACTCTGATATTTTCAGCTGTTGATGAAATCAGACCTTCTGTGAGCTACCACAGAGTTCGGGAAACCTGACTACCAGCCGGCCTCAAAACCATAAAACTGAGTTTTAGAGCTGTACTCTAATTTGGAGATAATAAAATGAGTTGCCTAGTCATAAAAACAGAGATACATGCAAAATCCATGCATTTAATAAATATAATAATAAATAATATAAATAAAATATTAAACTATTAAATAACTGATGTTAGGGGCTATTATAGACACTTTTTGAAAGTATTTAGGGGAGATTTGCACTGCCAAGTCGAAAAATTGATGACCTTTATTTGTAGCTCCTATATATATATACATATATATATATATATATATATATATATATATATATATATATATATATATATATATATATATATATATATATATATATATATATATATATATATATATATGTATATAGATTAAAGTTTGGTAAATTGTTAAAATAATATTACTTAAATGGTGTCAGATTAAAAAAAATGTAACATCTAAGCAAAAAAAAGCAATAACATTTTTTTTCACTTTTTTAGTCAAAGTTAGAAAACGTGCACAAAATAAAAAAATTATTATATAATAAAATATAAGTCTTGAATATTTTATTACATTATTAGCAATATTCCCAATCTTGATGTTTTTTTGGACGACATGCAACAGGACACTTTTCAAATATTCAGATGTGCCTCTGATTTGTCCAACAAACTCTCCATTTAGGTCTCTTTTTGAAGGAAAAAGTTTACTTATTACGTCATTATGACACAAATAAGAATCGTGTATAAATAGATTTTGGGGGATAAGCGGGAAAATATGCTGATTTAGAATATTCTGATCATCTCCATAGCTCGCTTCCAACTGCTTTATCGGATCACGATGCATGCAATTTTCAATGCAAAGTTTAGCTATTTTAAAACCTAGCTCTTGATTTTGTTCATTTCTACAGGGGTGGGACCGCAAAATGTGAACACTTTTCTGATTGTAATAGTTAATTTTCTGTTAAATATGAACTATTTTAAATAAGAATGTCCAATGGTTGGACATTCTTATTTAAAATAGTTCATATTTAACAACTCTTTAGACACTTTCTGATGAGTGAGAGAGTAAAACTACATCTAACGAGAAAATAGTTATAATAAAACAAAAACGTTCACATTTTGCGGTCCCACCCCTGTAAAGCACCACATACCTCCCAAAATTGGAATAGCATGTTGCGGATGATCTTTAATTGAATAAACCAGCTTACTTGATGCTAACCATACTTTTACAGCATCTAATTCTCTTTCTAAATTTTTTGAGTCTAAGTCTCTTATACACGCAATTTTTACATTTATATCTGCAACTATTAAAAACCTCCACACCATACCGTTAATAGTCTCCAAATCGGCAAAGTTACTAACATTTAAAAACTCTAAATTTTGATAACGTTTAGTTAACTGCATAACATTATTTAGTGTAATGGAGTACTTGTCGTGATAAATTCGAACGGTCCAATTTTTATATAAGCTATTGTTTGCTGCCTCTTTTGCAACATGTTCAACATTTTCCCCATATCTTTCCCAGTTATTTCCAAACAATGAGAAAGATAAAACTTATGATTTTGATATAATTCGGCTGTCATTATAAAAATCTGAATGTCGCTGAGGCGTAATGTTCCAAATATAATATTCACCTCGTTTTATTTCTTTAACTCTGTAAATCGGTTGATAACCAAAGTAAGTTAGCATCATTATGCAAAGAGTAATAGTTATACTTAATATATTTTTCTTATTCAGACGTTCCATTCTTTACTTTTGCATATAAAAAAGATAATAAATAAAATGTAATTACGTCACATTATCATCTTAATAAGGCAAAGGTTGAAATGTTATATATTAAAAATTAAAAAAAGTAATATATTTCTTATAAAGTTGTATTTAAAATAAAAATAGATAAAGCACAATAATATTTTTTTAGTTAATATTACAAAATAATGCATTGCAATATAAATAAGTAATTAATAAACCAACGTAAAATAATATTGGTTGAACTTAGGATATTGTGACATGAGGTAATCTCATAATACTGCTAACAATTGAATATAAGCTACGATCTATAAAAAGATTATATTTTTCTTATCGTCAGAACTTTATAAAGTATAAACAAGCAAAATAAAGACAGATATAATATATTAAAAATTAAGGTAAATATAAAGTACTAAAATTCAAGTAGTATAACAATTTTCATAATAATAGAAGTATCTGGGTGTAATATCCAGTAGGGGATTGCGGTAGTGAGAAAAGTTGGTATAATATTCTGGTAGTTATTAATAACTAGTCACTACCGAAGTTATGAAATTGAAATTAAAATTAAGTTTTTTCAACACTTTCAAAAATTCGGTATTGAACGGTATCTTATGATAGTGTTTGATATTGTAAACTTAAATTGTCGCCAATATCAAAGGAATCAAACACATCTTTTGGTTAGCCCGCCTAAAAAGATTTTGCTATTTACAGTATTTAAACCCATTAACTTTACAAATGCTCCACAAGGGCAAAATGTCAGTGTTATACATCAATAAAAGCTTTTGACAAGACAAAAAAATGATTTATTGAGTTCCAATTTATTAAAGAATTAGAAAAAGTTTTTTCAAATGGTGTATTTATTTAAACCAGAAAATTTTAATGAAAGTAGAAATCAAAGTCTTTATTAGGAATGGCTCTTTTACTTACTTTTTTTTAACGAATAAGTTGGTTTTTGTAAAAAAGTAAATTACATAAGTAATTTTTAACGTTTTATATAAATTTACATTTTTGTATAAGTAATTAATTTTTTGAAACGATTTTAACTTTATAATGTAAGTTTTTTTGTTTTCAAAAGTAAGTTATATCAAAGAAGGTTGCATCAAAAAGTAACTTACTTTTACAAGTAAAAGTAAGTCTCATGATAAAGCAATTTACTTTTACTTATAAATATTAATTACTTTTTCAAATTACATTACCTAATAAAAAAGTTCTTCAAACTGTATTTTACATTTACCTATAAAAGTAACTAAATAAAAAAATTATATCTTCGTATAAGTAATTAACTTTTTGAAACGACTTTAACTTTATAATGTAAGTTTTTTTGTTTTTAAAAGTAAGTTATGTAAATTAAGATTACATCAAAAAGTAGTTTACTTTTACAAGTAAAAGTAAGTCTTATAAAAAAGCAATTTACTTTTACATATAAATATTAATTAGGGTAATGCGGGGCAAAATGAGACAGCGGGGCAATACTAGACAGTTCGCGTTTAACATAATGCCAGCCCTACAAATTATTATTTGCAAGATTTTTAAAAGTGCAGTTGTGTTCAAAAACTATTTTGTGTCAAGAAAAATATATTGAGTCACTTTGAAATAAAAAAGTTGAGTAAATGGGGAGTCATTTCATCCCTCGGCTTCGCGAAAATTACGAATTTTTAAGAGTTGTTATTATATTTTTTCCTAGCTTTTTTGATCTCACTGAGTGGAATAGCTTTTTATATTTAAAGTTTTTTTTTAATTATAATCTTTAGACCTTTTCCTTTAATTTCCATTCTTTGGTATTTTACTTCTTCAATTAAATAGTCTGGAAATTAGGCTATTCGATGCCAACATGATGCGGGGCAAAACGAGACATTCTGTTTGTATTTTTTTTTGCCGATATCTAATATTATGTTTATTTATTTTTTTACATTAAAACAACAACCAAAGCAAATATTAATATTTACATGCTTTAGATTTAAATTTATTATACTGTATTTACTTACTTTTTATTTTGTTAATTGAAATATTTAGTTGTTATCCAATATAGAATTACGTTTTATATTTTGTCCACTTATATTTAAATATAATAAATATTTAATCAAATTGAAGCAAATAATTGCCTGATGTTTATAATTACTATGTTTGTATTGTGGAGTCAATTTCCAAAATGCATAACCTGGGCTCATTTGGACTATTGTTTGTTTCAAAATACTGGTTAAGCAATATGTGATTTATGTGACTAGTGACAGTTTGATCAAAGCTGTAATATATTATAAAAAATGTATTTCTTCCTAATCCTTTTAAAGATATGTTTTTTTTAACTTTATTTATTTAAATTACTAAAAAAAAAATCTGTCTCATTTTGCCCCGGTATGGGGGGCAAAATGAGACAGGATAGGTGCTGTCAATAAATGATCTCTGGTGACCAAACTACTGCAGTTTTGCAACTCATACTTTTTAGGCTTCAAGTAGGATCGTAGAAGAATTGAAAAATATCAATTTACTTTTTCAAAAGTTGTTAGACGGGCAGTATATCAGCGATATATCAGCGCTTAAGTGTCTCATTTTGCCCCTCGTTACACTACTTTTTCAGATTACATTACATATAAAAGTTATTAATGTAAAAGTTCCTTAAACTATTTTCTACATTTACCTATAAAAGTAAATGTAAAAAATACTAAATCTAAAAATAATTTGCATATGAAAATAAATTACATAAAAGTAATTAGCTATTAAATATAAATTTAATTTACAAATAAAATAATATTTTTTAAGTAGGAATTTTTTATTTTAAAAGTAATAACAAATCTATATTAAAAATAAAGTATATAAAATAAAATTTAAATTACATAAGCTTACATTTTATATAATTTTTAAAGTTAAATAAAACTAGTTTTCATAAAGTAAGTAAATAAATTTACTTATATTTTACAATACCTTTAATAGGATCTTGTACAAAAGTATTTCAAAAAAGTAAAATTTTAAGACTAAAATTTAGTTTGCCGCAACATTTGATTTGCGCAGTTTTAGGTGTTTCTTTTCTGTAAAGTTTAATAGTATCAATAATAAATAAGGTTTGCCCATGGTTAAAACCCTCTCATATAAGAGATATATAACAGTTCCGGTCCATGAGAGTCTTAGCTATAACAACTACTTTCAGAATCAAACCGTTTCAAAAATATTCACTCTCTGGCCAGTCATTCAAAAGGTCTGGAGTTTACACAAAGCTGAAATAAAGCAGTTAGCAGAAGGCGCATATATTTATGGGAGACTCAAAAAGCGTACTTTATTTGAAAGGAAAATAATTGGCATAACTGTTACTTGTTTTATACAAGTTTTTTGCGTAAATGCGTAAATATTACTTAAAAACTAAGGAAAGAAAGTTTTAACCTGTTTTGAATTATAGAGGCTTTAACACCATGCCCTGAAGATTGAAGAGTCCCGAACTTTTTAGAAGAACGCTTTATTTTTGTAAAGAATTTTACCTATTTGATACGAAAAATTTCCATCTGCTTAAGAATATCTTTTGACTCAATAAGTTTAGATTTAAACAACTGTGGTACTGTTATATGGGCAAGAAAATTTTAGAACCTTTCACGTAAATATCTTTACCTGCATGTAGTATCAGTGGCCTTGATACCGCAAGGCCAGTATAGGCAAAAATTAAGGTCCAATTAAGCCTTGAGTGAAAGGGTTTAGGAGCCTTATGATATTAATTTTTTTTTTTTTTACTTAATAAAATATATTGTTCCAGAGAAACACAAATTAGGCATCTTGCAAAAAATTACGCAAGCAGACATCTTTACATTATTGGTTACCATAAAGTCTTCAAATGAGTTTAATATAATTTTTAACAACACATTGAAAGACCTCATTTCTACGTAACTATTATTAATACTTTTAATTAAAAATTATCAGTTTGGTGATAAATGGAACCGTCGCGTTTTCAAACTATAAAAGCATTTTACATTGCTTTTTAAATTTTTTTATTTGTTATTTAAGGGCCCCAAGAAGACCTAACGCTCTTGTCACAGAGCAATGTAACTTTGTCTTTTTTATATGGATTGCTTTCATTTTTTCATCATCTGATGTTCTACTTTCATAGTTGGGTTTAGATGCTAACTTAAAAGCTTCATCTCTGTTTGTTACTAATCTAACATCATCTCTGTTTTCAATACTCTCCATTGTTTTTCCAAATACTTAATTATTCGTGAGTTTAAAAAAATCTTTTTAAAAATTATTAGTAGCTTTAGTTCTTGGATATTTAGATCAATGTGTTCATTTACCATGCTCTACCTTTAAACTTTATATCTCTGTGAAATTTTGTAAATTTTTAATTATGTTATAACTGCATTGGTTATAAAAAATTAGCGGCAAAATGTCAATCAAGAGGATACAGAAAGTGTAATAAAAAACATTACACCTTAATTTGTCGAAACGTAATTGCAATAATGGACAATAAAATGAAAAATAAAAAAGAAACCGTGGGAATGGTGTTTAATGCAAGTAAAACTTTTCACCCGACAGTAATGGCAAAGGTAAATGGTGAAAAACGAAAAAACTATCTTGGATATGGGTGCTGGAAGTATTTATAAAAGCACAAACTTGTTAACAATACTGAATATGTAACCTACACATATGAAATATAAAACCATCGATAAACTATATTGAACGGTAAACAAGCGAATGAAAATATATAATGCAACGCTAGAATCAATAACAATACCGGAGTTTTGCGTCAAGATTGAATGCATCATTGAGGATAAGGAAACACTGACTATCTTAGGCAATCCGATGATCAAGGAGGTAAAAAAGCATTTCGCGAGACTAAGAAGACTGAAATTTAGCAATGATGGAGAAAGTGATGAAATACAACCTATTCACATAATACTCAGTGCTGTTGATTATAAAAGAATGAAAATTACTAAACCGATGGTTATCGGAAAAAAACCGGATAAATGTGGTTCTCGCAAAAATTCCGGATAAAAATTTCAAACGAATGTAGACTAAATCAGTGATTTTATATAGATTTAA